TTGTAGTATAGGATGGTGAGTTTTAAATTTATGACAACAAGTGATTTCTATTAATCAATGTTCGTTTAATTTTTTCTCCAAAGATAAAAGTCGAAATGTATACTTCATAGTAGGCTAACATCAAAAGATATATAAGATTATCTCTGTTAATATTGAATGTTTCTATTTATTATATATATAAATTTTTTGCAAATTAAATACACAGAAAATCTTTAATTAAAAATCTTCTTTTAGGTTGTGTTTACTAATAATTTCCAATCAACTCATCGTAAAGTATAATTTCACAACCAAACAAAGAAGAGTAAACTTAAAAAAGTAAACAGGTATAAAGAAAATGATCAGATGCCTCATTTATTATTGATAAGATTACAGTAACGTCGTCATTTGCGGAAAATATCATCACATAAATATATAAAAATTTCGATCAAATGTAGCTCGTAAGTTTTTTGTTTGAACTCTCTATACCTCTGATAATATCTTATAGAATGAGTGAATAATCTTGCTTAATTACACTGAAAATCAGTAGATAATTAATTTGCACATAGAAATCATGAATCATTTATGGTTAGGTCAACGTTAGGCGTTTGCGCGCAATACCAGAGGCCCTAGGTTCGAACCCTGCCAGTAGCGGGAGTCGTGCATGCGCACTGCTGATGAGTCCCATACCAGGATGAAACGGACGTCCAGTGCTTTCAGGTTTTGAATGGTAGTCTAACAATGACTGGTTCATGATTTCTATGTGTAAAAATGTTGATCTCCATGACTATAAAATTGACAAGTATAATTAATTCATGTACATACGTACCATTGGCAATCAGCCAGAAGAAATATTTAATTTTGACGAAATTAATTAGCGGTATTTAGATTATTGAATGAAGCTTTATGTTAAATTCTATGCTTACGTTAAAAATTATCATATTAATCAAAAAATTAAATTTAAAAGTCAAGACTATGTTGAATCACATCAAAATAATTTTTCGTCTTAAGATTTCAATAAATTTGATTAATGGCTTTACGAATAAATGGATACATCTGGTGTGAAAGCTGAATCGTTTACTCTGAATTAATAACATATTCATTAGAGTAAATGGAATAGAAATTAGTTTATCTACGTAAGGTATAGTGATATAAAAAATCGATAATTTTTAAATCATTAATAAAACATCATATCTTCTCATTTCTTGCTATGTTCTGTGTGTATTCGTATTTATATTCAATAACTAATTTTTTTTGTTTGAATCAATTGTGAATAGAAATTAATAAAAATAAATGACTAATACCTGGGTTACATTTCATTATTCAAGTGTATACTATCCTACTTCGTTCCTTTTGATGGTTTATTAGCGACAGCTTATGAATGACAAATGTGATCGTGTTGTAATGTCCTTTCAAGGTACTCTACACTACATGGGACTATTGACTTGTATCGCTTTCAGTTAACTCTATTGAATCTATATTTCTCTTTTCTCCATTGGTTCCGTTCGCGCATCATCATATTTGATAATCAAATGAACTCTATTTTTGATTATTGCCCCAGAAGAAACTTCCAATTAATATTCATAACATAACTACTGTTACCATTTTGTCATTCACTTTAAAACTTTGTTTTAAGTATTAGTTTTTTTACGGTTCTCTTGTTTCCATACTGCTATTAAAGTTTATAGTATCAATATTTGGTATACGAGTATTGGCTATGCGTGTTATCGTGCCTTGCATAAGTTATCTGGTGAACCCTGTATTTCTATTGAGAACACAAACTTGGGCCCACTCACATACGTTTTGATTTTTTCCCTGGCAGATATTTCATTTTATATATTTCATAATAAGGTCAAAAATCAAAAACACTAACTTGAATAATATACGCTCTCAGATTAATGATTCAGTTGATCTACGTGCCTTAAATTCAATCAATGTGTCCTTATTGAGTATACGTAACCCTCGAAAATGGTTCTCATAGGTAGTAGTGCAATTTCCTAACAACAGCATTGCTTACTCGGTTGTCCCACGATATACGAGCAATGCTTCTAAGACATCTATAATCGAATACTAGTAATCTACGAACATCTTCTACTCTTAACGGCCATGTTTCGCATCCATATAGGAGAACGGAGCGAACTGCTGCGCTTGCCTGTCGTGATGACCTAACCGAGTTATACTGGCTGGGACATATGTTCCTGAAGGTTCTATCATGCCAGGCTTGTCGGTTGGAGAACGATGAGACTAAAAGCAGCTACTCAAGGTCTGAGGGCGAAGTCATACTGCTGACTGTAGAGGGGTGTGACAGCAGTAAGGTGTTTCCTTCGGACAACCAGCATCTGCAGCGATGCTGCCTTCTCACAAGGAAGGAAGAGTTAGAAAAGGTCGACCTTGACAATGTCACACCTTACTCTACCTCACGAATTTGCCCACTAAGGGCTTTTAAGAGCGGAGCTAGTACTCGAAAAACCTCTCGTAAAAAGGCCGTGCGTGACCGGTCTCAAGCAGTTGTCACTTGGGCTCTGCGGTCACGCTTCCACGGCCTTTAGGACCAACGCTAATCTACTTTCCTTTTCAGGTTCCTCTAGAAACAACCTTCCACGGTGTATGCAGCCAAGAAGTGACAACCGCCCTCATACCCGTAACAGTACACGAGACCAAATTGGTCAAAATCAAATTAGACTGCAGATAGCAGCAAACAAATGACATTTGAACTATTCGCCAGATAGAAAAGAAACGATTCACAAAATGAAGACCGACTAACAAAAATATATTAGAAGTAACTAAACGTACTTAAATTCAGATCGCAGATATTGGCTTAATCCGTAAAATCCGCTTGCATTAATTTCTATTTTTTCATATAATTTTTAAGTGACTTCGAACTTACACTATGAGTCCACCTTTATCACATTTAAAGAAACCTTGAATTTATTGGTTCGTAACTTTTTCAATGTGCTATTATCGTTCTACTCTCAAGGATAGAACACAACTGTTCGTCCACAATAGTTTGAAATCTTGTCTATTTTTGGAGTGTCACCGATAAGGTTTCCACTAGTTTTACTTATTTTTATTGTCTCACGGCTACGTAACAGAATAAGAAATTGTTGGTTCGGTTTAATAGAAAACAGTCAAAACTACAATCAGTTAACCTTGTTGCTAAAGCAATCAGTAGCAGCTTTATCAGTCTAAATTATAATAATTTCAACTAAGTAACGAATTAGGTTAGTAAATTACTTCACAATTTAATATGTGGACTTTTAATTATCTTGAGATAGAAAGTACAAATATAAATTCTACAGTTATATAATTTATGTAATGACGACAACGAATTGTTCGTCCTTTCTATAAGTAAATGATGCTGGCAGCACAGTTTCGCTACAAACCATTTACCTATTTCAGTAAAGCAAAATGTAGAGATCTTGGTATTCTTCAACAGACTACCTGGGGATTATCTGCTCTTATGCATCTTGCAATCTCATGTGATCATAAATGTTGACAATTCATCTGCTTTTAATCCATTTGTATTCAAAAAAGATTATCGATCATTTGGACACATCAAAATCTAATAGACCAGTACCAAACTGTTAGTTAGTTAGTCAGTTAGCACGTATTCAAAACTGTTTAATCTACGAAAAACAATTGATAGAAATAAGATTAATCCTCTAAATGTTAGTCTTTTCAGGATTTCAGATATTTATTAACGACAGTATCACAAGACACAGTTTTAGTTGTAATAAACTTATTTTCAAGTCAGAACACCTAAATCACAAATCTATGATTTTTGTCGAAGTACATATGATGAATATAGTTGATGATACACTCTTGAGCAGTCGATCCAAACTTGTTTACTGTAGTAGTGTAGAATGATAGTCGACTAGCCGGAAAACTATTCATCTCTATGATGCTGATAACTTGATGTTTCCATGTCTTTGTAGAACACTTTCAACTACATTAAAATCCCATTTCTCAAGTACACAAAAACAACTACTGAAATAAAATAAAATGCACTTTCATAAAACAATGTTGAAATTTCTCACCAAAATATAGATTTGTGTATTGTACAAATATGGTATAATCTAGATTAAAATGCTACAACTGTTGATAAGAAATCATTCAATTCATGAAAATTAATGTAAATGTGGAAAAATTTCCAGTTTTAATTTTGTATGTGGTTGTGCTGTACTGTGTAACTCAATCACCAATTATTACAAAATGGTTTTTTCAACTTATCCAGTATATGTTTAATTCGTTGTTTCATGAAAATAAACAACTTTCATTATGTAGTCTAAACACCCCATTTCTGATGACGTTATGTAACGTAACCATTTTCAATGAACAGCTTACATGTATAACTAAGCATTGTGTTAAGACTTATCAAGCATGAAGCATATAACATTTTAATGATTGCTATGAATACAAGAAAAAGCGTTACAATAGGTTCATGATTTTCTGATGACAACTGGTATTATTGAGTCGACATCTTTTTGACCAGATTGCTCAGGACTTCCTTCACTACTTAAGTCTTCTTTCAAATGAAATTCTTGACGATCTAGAAACATGTAAAAGTTGCCATTTTGACTTTCAGAAAACCCACTTAACGGATCATGATTAATGAATGTAACTTTATCGATGATTTCGTAGATTCGCGTTTCTAAATGAATTTCACCACTTTCTGATGATATAGAATGAGATAGTGATTGTTTATTTCTAGGTGGTTCTTCAACACTTTGTTGTACTTGATAAATTATTGAATCAAATGAATGACGAGTATTCTCATTGGGAGTGACTGAAAGACTGGATATAACAATATTTTCACTGAATGATTCAAGGTTAACATCATAATTTGGTGTAGCAGAACTTAAAGAACAAGTTGATTTGTTGTCTTTTCTAACAGTTTCTTCATTATCAATAACATCATTGATTTTATTTTTCTCATTCTCATTACTTTTATTGATTTTATTATCGTCACTACGATTATTACTGGTAACGTTATTATTATTATTATTGTTATTATTATCATTATTATTATTATTGTTGTTATCAATATTATTATTATTATTATCTTTACTCAACTCATCGAAATCTTCTACTCTGACCTCTGGAATTGACATATTTTTATTTTTAATTTTCTGAGGAGGCAGACTTGCACGATTTAAAAAATGATTTTTACGTAGTAATTTGTCAGGATCAGCCATTGCTTCTTTGATCTTCTCTTCAATTAGTTGAACTTGCTCAGCTGATTTACATTTGTATATTTCAAAGTATTTTCTTCGATCATGATTTGAATCGATGCACAAGACAAAGTATTCCGGTCGTTTTCGACTAATAAAGAAGAATTTTATTTCATTATATACAATCCATGGATGAAATGGTACTTTGCCTGACTGTTTCACACGTCTTAAACAAATTCGATCTTCTATCAGAGATGCGTTACAATGAGCTCGTCTTTTTTTATAATATTTTTCAATATAGATTAATGCATCTGTTTCATGAAAATCTGATTTATCGGGAACAGTCACTTGGCGAATGGCACAGACATGAGCTTGTAGGAAAATGTATTGTTTAGTGCCAGCGTAACGTAGTACTTCATCAATATATTCAAGACTACCAGTTTTATGCAAAGTTCCATTTACATAGCCACTATCACTAAAACTGCTGTTACAATTATTAGGCACTGTAGATGAACTTGATGTCATTGTTTATAATTGTTTCATGTATACAATAGAAATATTTTACAAATTATTTTATTGAAAATAATTATACAAATAATATCCATCATGAAGAATTTATTTAATTTTTGATAAATTATAAATTTCATTATGATGCAAAATAATAACTATGTCACAGAGTATATCATACCTCATAGTTCGTGCAAATTTTACTGTTAAAATATCCATGGAAAATAAAGAACGCACAGAAATCGATAGTTTGAAAATCAGGCAGCAATCAATAATATGAATTTTAGCATTACTCTTTTAATTCATTGTTCAATTCTTAATACCATTTCACAACAATTTAGTCTAGTCTTATTTTAACAGGTTTCATTAATTACCACAGAGAAGAAGAAAATACATCAGTGTGCAAACTTATTGGCATAAATTAATTACTCTAGGCACACACACACACACATGCATTTTTTACACTGATACAACTGATTGATTTGTTTGCTAGATATATAAATATTCCCCCTTACTTTCTCATTTTATGCTTGATAATTGTGACTTTTTTTTAATAACCTATAGGATCACTGTGTATACATGCATCATGGTGAATTGTATTGAGTCAGTTAATGTGTGGATACACAAACCACCTAAGCTGGAAATCACACATTTGAGTATCTACTACTGACGTTTCAGTATTTACGTTGAATATCACATGATATACATCATTTTTTTAAAAACTTTTTATTGATCTCTCTGTGTGCAGATGTTCACTACAGAAATATCAGGAAAATATTCGAACCACGTTCTATTTTTTTTTGCGAAAACAAGCACCTACACTGATATTATCATTATGATGTCAAAAAATTCCAATGTAGGGCTTGAATTATTATTGAATAATCCTAGTGAATTAAAATTAAATCAATTCAATAGTTATTAAATAACAAAATGAGCAAAGTATGATCGTGGAAAGATGAATACAATAAACACGAATTGAGTAAACCAAAATACAACTGGGTAGCCCTTTCATTTCAGCTTCAACACAGTAGTCAACATTTACAGTTAACGACGTATGTTTCTTTCTGATTGATTCGCTATGTGTAACATTTTAAATTGTAGAATATGTGCATCCTATGCGGATTGTTTCGATAGTGTCATTAAGTCATAAACATTATAAGCAAAAATGGGTATTACTAGTAGTAGAATCAAGGACGTGCGTTTTATTCTATTTGTGAAGCGTCAGCTGGATGTGCATGCATCTCAGTTGATGTGCTTGAATGCTATTATGAGTTCACCATACTCGATAAACGGAACGAAGGTCAACGATACAGTAACAAGATAAGCTATTCTAATCTGTTATCTCAGGCCACGCTAACAAAAGCAAGAAGTCTTGATATGAGGAGTTGACAATGTATCCTACAAGCATCCAGAAAATATGAGTTGTCTAAGCACACAAATCAAGCTTATTTATCCAATGATAGAATTACCCTTGAGAGAACCATAAAATAGCGTGCTAAAATAATCCATCAACCAATGATAGTCAAGGACTTTCTGAGTGAGAAATGTAAGCTGAAGGTCAGCTGGCATGAAAACGTGGGAATTCAAAATTTCAGAATAAAATTACGAAACCAGGACTTTTCCAAATCGGGATCTAACGTCTCTAACTACAGAGTTGATATTCCCTTAGGGACTCCAGTATATTTTCATTAATGTATTTAGATAATGTTATAAAATGAATGTTTTTTAGAACAATATATTGTATTTCAATTCTTTAAATTTAATAATTTAATGATTATAAATCCAACGAACTTAACATTCATTTCAAGGTTTATATCAATTAAAGTAGCAGATTATTTTTGAAAAAAATAGGGCCGGCTAAGTGATCCATAGTTTAAGCGTTTCGATTGTGTCGAAAGTTTTGATTTAAATTCATATGCTCAGGATTGTGGAGGAGTTCCATACGCGTATAAAACGGCCTTTCACTGTTTTCAATCAACAGATGCGTTTAAAATTTCAATTAGCTGATGGCTACCAAAATGGTTCGCATAATCCTAACAGTACCGTAAGTGTATACATGTAAATACTGAATTCACGTAGAAATTATGTACAAACACATTCATTCAATCAAATACTACTGTTTGAACATAGTTAACATTAAATAAGTTATATTCAAAGCATAAAATCAATTCAGCAAATGAATATGTTTGAATACCTGTTTAAAACAGAGTTGTTTTTTGAACTTTTGTTATCCATGAAAGTTTTGATTGTGATTATTCCCATGATGAAACTTTACCTATATTGTGTGGCATGACATTATTATTGTAATCTCAATATTGTCTTGATCTCAACACCTTGTGGAGTAATGAGTGATGAAAGCTCAAGAATCTCATACTCGTAGGAAACGCTTGTCTCATACACCATGGTTTCCTTGTGGTGGTGTTTCGTTCTCTGGGCTCGATGTTTTGGTTGTAGAGCTTTCATTGTTCTTGTGAACAACATCATCAGCGAAAATTTCAGATAGAAGAGAAGCATCCGAATTTCTCCATGGTTTCCAATTGTTCTATTCTTGACGAAATTATACTTGATTTTATTTGTTCCAATCACCTTTTGGTTTACTGAAATATTATTCATTTAATTTAAATTTCTATTGAATATAAAACTTTTTATGAAACATTTTCGATTGCATTACACTGAGGAAGCGATAATTTCTTTAAGTTATTGCTAAATATGAACTGCTAATTAGTGTGAAAAATATTATTTTATATAACATAAATCCCATTCTGTTTTCTTCATCAAATAAACTATATAACATTAAGGATTTTTTTAATATGTAGAACTAAATGTAATTGAATTTGTAGGATTTAATTTGTCCTACAGATGTAATTCTAGAACAGTAAACGCACATAGTCTATGGGAAAGCTATAGTTAGAAAAAGACCAATTTTGATTTAAACTTTATCTGTTTCGACCAATATGGCGTGTCTTATGAAAATGAGCAAAGTTATGAGTCACATCAATATCATAAGATAATGTCAATCAATTTGTAGGCCATTTACAACAAAGAAAGTTTATAGACACGTCAGATCAGATCACGTGATGGGCGCTTAAACCACAATTTGATTGGTTAGTTATGACATAACTACAATTAGTTATGGAAATAACTAACAGAATTCATCATTCATACAACATGTTTTGGAGAATAAGTCCGATTCTCTTACACATAAATATTTGCTCTCTTCATTGATGAAATATGTAATTTTTAGTCTTTCGCTATATACCTTGGAAGTTGTATGTTTTGTATGGATGACTATACTATTCATGTCAACGTTTGACTGTTCGACCGACGAGCTCTTGTTTGTGTATACAAATATCCAGTCCAGATAATGACAAGAATTACTTGCCATATGTCGACAATGTAATGGATTCCCTTTTGTTCAGCGACTAAGAATTTGTTGTTATTTATGAAAAAATAATTTTATATTTTACCAACTTGTCAAACACCATTTAGTCGATGACGCTTGTCTTTTTATGTAGATTGATTGACTACTTAGAAGTAGTTAGAAATAAATAATAATTTTTACTTTGAAGTTCTTAGTTATGTTGAATTAATTTAATAAACTGAGAATTATTTTGTTATAGATACCATAATTACGCTCTCACTAGCCTTCGTTATCATTAAAATATTTTAAAATAGAGCAATAACATACTATTAAGCAGTGCTTATTTGCAATTCACAACTAATTGAAACCTATTGAGCTACTACGCATAATGAAGACATTTCAGCAAAGTAAGTTTCTTTTCATCAATATCACTTAGTGTAGAACTACAATGAGATTTATGGTTATTTATAGATACAATGTTATATAGTATAAATAAAAAATTCTTCTGTTGTTAATAGAGGTACTAAAGCGTAATCAGAATTGTAATTTTAGAAGTGAGAAATAGCACTTAGAAAAGACATACGAAAGATTACTATTCTGTTGATTATTAGGAAGATAGAAATATCTACATATATGCGTCAAAATAAAATTTAGGTTAGAGAATTGAAGAATATAGGAAGATGAAGAGGAGAAAATATACGCGTATCAAAATAATTAACAAAATATGAAGAGTTATTAGAACAATGGTTATTCGCTAAAAACTTGGTTGCTTTTATTTAAGTGCGTATGTGTAATACTTACTTCGCTCATCGCATGTCTAGCCTATTTTTGTCTGACTATAAATATTTTGTCATGCCTCCACCTCATTGAGTTGGCACACTCTCCTTCGCTTCGCATTCACGTTTTGCGTTCTACTGCATGTCTGCTCATGAAAAAAGATTATCCACGAAAATGTATCGGGATTTCGATACTCACCATTTCACAAACGGGGTTTGTCTAAGAACGATTTGCGGAAATTCAAGGAAAGTCGTTCGTACAAATTGGAGTCAGATTCCAGGCCACTAAACTCGACAACGGCAAACAAACTATTAAGTCTTTCAGTTCGATACAGCTTAGTAAAAATGATGTTTAGTTATTTTATTTTCATATTTTCCTTTACTCCAGCTTATGGATTAGTCGAATGATCAGTATTCTAATTCATAATAAATTTATCAGAATTTAAATTATTAATACATGGTAATTTTTTGCGTGCATTATTTCATACGGTAATAAATCCATCCTATTATGGACTACCTTATATAACTTATACAAGATTGAAATATAATAGCAGTATCAAAAATTTCCCTAAACAACTGTTTCTGTATTAAGAATGAAGGGCGTTGAGAAAAACTTTTATAAGGCTTTGAATAGTAATACCACTTAACAAATCAAGTCGTGGTTATGGAATCTAATGCGTGATTTGAAAGACCTTATAAAATTCCACTCAATCTCTCTTATCAGTAGGTTATGCTATGAATGAACTTCAACTGTCCTTAAACTAATTTAGAAGGAATAATGTTCGCTGATGAATTTGCATACTGTGAACCCGATGAAATCTATTCTGTAGGGAAGATAAGAGTAAAGTGAAGCATGAAAGTTCATAACTCCGCCAGTAGAACCTTCGGGTCTACTGCCGGTCCCAAACCTGGGTAAAGGAGGAGGGTTGGACATGTGGTTGGC